CAAACATCACATCCAATCACAAAAAAACTCAACTATCTTCCCAAACACTAAAAAATTTTTATCCAATAATATCCTACAACTAAAATAACCTACATAAAAACTCACTTCCCAAACACCCGCATATGTTCCTTTACGATTGGAAGAAGTTCAATATATTTATTTTTGTCTAATGTATTTTTGGGTTTGGGGGTTTGGCGCTAGGGTATTTTATTTTGACACCTATTTTTATTTCGATCATACTATTCATTTTGGCGACTAAAACTTTTTGTCGCTAAAGGTATTTTATAAATCCCTCTAAATATTTGAAAGGTCTCCCTCCAAAACATTTTGCTTCTTTGGCGACTAAAATTCAATTTTGTCGCTGAAAACAAACTTTTGACTACTAAAATTTTGGTTGTCAAAGGTAAAAAACATATTTTTTTATTTTTCGTTTTCATTTGACAAAACGAATCGAAAAATTATAATTTTTTTCTAAAATTTAAAAAAAAATTCAATAAAGATAAAATTTAACAAAAAAATAGTAAATATTTGTTGCTTATTTTGAATTTTGAATTTTGAATTTTTTTGGTCACCAAAGGTAAAAAACATATTTTTTTTATTTTTCGTTTTCATTCGACAAAACGAATCGAAAAATTATAATTTTTTTCTAAAATTTTAAAAAAAAATTCAATAAAGATAAAATTTAACAAAAAAATAGTAAATATTTGTTGCTTATTTTGAATTTTGAATTTTTAAAAAATTTTAAAACATATATATTTCTTAGATTCAGCTCGATAAAATGAATTGAAAAAATAAAAAATTTTAAAATAAAATTACTAAAGGACAAATTTTTTTGAAAAAATAGGTGATTTTTTTAGATGTAGCCCAATGGTTCATGTGATACAAAAATAAAATTTAAAATATTAATTTATTATCTTAAAAGAAAAGAGAAGTAAATGTTACAAAGTTTTTGTAGAGATTCAAACCAATGTTTTATTCATATACCTACTACTAATGGGAATTCATTTTTATTTAATTAATAAGCATGTTTCATTTTTATTTTTATTTTTATTTTTAAAAAAGAAGCTTCTTTCAATTTTATTTTTCTCATTAAAAAAAAAAGAAAGTCAAATTTCAAGTGGAGACAAAAAATGTCATTGTTGTTAATCTATTCATACTACAAAAACAAAAACAAAAACAAATTTAAGATTTGACAATCTCTACACGAAAAATTCAAGATTTGACAACCTCTTCATAAAAATAAAAATAAAATAAAATAACTATTTTGTTTAGTAAACTAAAATAAAATAAAATAAAAGTAACTATTTTGTTTAATTATCTTTGGCGACTAAAATATGATTTGGTCGGCAAAGATAAAAGTAATCATTTGTTTTCATTCGGCTACTAAACAATTTAGTAGCCAAAAGTAACTCTACAGCGACTAAAAAGGAATTTTGTCACTGAAAATATATTTTTGGCGACCAAAATTTTGTTTGCCAAAGATAAAAAATAAATTTTTTATTTTCATTCGGCTACTAAACAATTTAGTAGCCAAAAGTAGCTCTACGGCTACTAAAATTTCTTTTAGTCGCCAATTGTGATATGTTTAGCTACTAAAATTTTTTTTAGTCGCCAATTGTAATATTTTTAGCTACTAAATTTTTTTTAGTCGCCAATAATCAACATTCCCCTACTAAAAAAATTTAGTAGCTAAAAACTTGACTTTTGCCGACTAATATTATTTTTGGTAGCCAATTCCGTAACTTTTGGCAACTAAATTGTTTTTAGTAGTCAAAAATGGTGGTGAAAAATGTATTTTCTTGTAGTGATTGTTCATTTTGTCAATTTGATTATATATCTCCAACTACATCAATTTTATTTTAAAATTTTTCATATTATGTTAATTTAATACAATTAGTAATGATTATTAATAAATTGAACATAAATGAAGAAAAAAAATGATCCATTCACTCTTCTCAAATTGATTGAGAGATTGACATCAATTTGAAATATGTAAACAATGTGTCTGTAATTTGCATGTCGATGATCCAATAACAATCATATTTTTATATCATATTTAAAGTATCATGTGAGTTGTCACCACTAAATTGGTTGAGTGAGTTCCATCATTTATGTTTGTTTACAATATATGTAAAGTAAATATAATATAGTAATGTAATCGTTACAATATTATTTTTGACACTTTCATATTTTTGCAAAGTATTTTTTTCAAAAGAAATATTTATGTTTTGTGTTCATTATTAATTTAAAAAATTTATATTATATTATTATTGCTGATTATTGAATTTTTTTATTTCAAATTTGTGATAAACAAGTGTGGCTTCTAATGGCTTCGCCACTACTGGAGTGTGTACTGTGGTGTGGAGTGGAGGACCAATCATGTCAAAATAAAACACCTTGTTTGGTTCCACATTTTTAAAAATTAATTTTTTTTTATATTTTTTTTTCATAGTATTTTGATTTTAGTATTTTTTTAATATTTTAAGAAATTTTTTTACTTTTTAAATACAATTAATATAAATAAAATTAAAAAGTAGAGAAAGAGAGGGAGAGGAGAAAGAGAAGGGAGGGAGAGGAAGAAGGTCGGCGTCGCAGCTCCCCGCCCCGCCGTCGTCGCAGCTCCCGCTGTCGTCGTAGCTCCCGCCGCTGCCTCTGCTTCCTCCTCCGTCGCAGCCCCGCCGATGTCACAGCACCACCGTCGTCTGCCCAGCCTCCCCTCTTCCTCAAACCGATTTTTATGGCCCCCTCCCCTCTCTCCTACTCCTCCTCCTCCTCCTCCCTTCTCTTCTTCTCCCTTCTTCTTCTTCTTCTTCGTTCTACAAAACCAGGGAAGAAAGAAAAAAAGAAAAAAAAAGAAAAAAAAAATTGACACCAAAACGACGTCGTTTTGGTGTCGAGCCGGGTTTCGAGTCACGGGTTTCGAGCTACGTAGCACTACCGATCTTTTTGTTGTTTTATTTTTAAGCCTTGCTTGGCATGTATCAAAAAAGTTAAAAAGTCACTATCTTATTTAAGTCACATTATCTTATTTAAGTCACATCACTTCACATCACTTCAAATTCAATTCATATTTCATAAAAAATCAAAAAATATACTTATTTAAAACATCCCAAACAACCCTTTAGTCAACTTTTATGTGTGAATTTTTCATACTCTGTGCACCAAAAGTCAGATTGAGAAAAACATGTGGAATCTGACGGTCTTTCACTCATAATCTTTGAATTTTTTGTACTGTGTGCACTAAAAGTCAGATTGAGAAAAAAATGTGGATTCTAACGGTCTTTCACTCATAATCTTTGAATTGTTGCTAGGCTTGATTACTCAAAAATTCTATTTATAAATATTATGGTATCTTTAAATTTTTTTAAACTAGTAAGTCTTATTTACTAAACCTAAAAATCTTATCAGTTTTTTTTTATTTTTAAAATTAAGAACTTTATCAATTTTGCATAGTAATATTTTAGATAATTGTTTCACTAACTGATTAAAAAAAATAAAGTATGAAATTAAACGTTTTTGCCTTTCTATTTTTTGGTTTGATTCAACTATCCAATAAAATTGAGAATATTATCAAATTTTTCATTTTTAAAGGTTTTTTTTTTTTTTTGCACATCAATGTTCTATCACCATGCTCTTTTATAAACACAAAATTTTTAGTTTTGTATAAAAAAATATTCAATTTTTTTTTTAAAAAAAAAAGTTAGTTTTTTTTTACACATAATTTTTTTTGTTTAATTTGAAAGTTGATATTTTAAAGTTTTAAAAATCAAAATAAATGTCAAATCATAATATTTCTTTATAGATAATTATAAATGATGAACAATCATTATTTGAAGGGCAATTTCGACTATTAAAAATTTAATGATACTTAAAGGTCTAAATTTTTTTTAATTAAGGCTTAATGAAATATAAGTTCATAAATTAGTATTTATGTATAAATGCCCCTTGCTTCTAACTAAACAACAGACTAAAATTCAAGTGGTGTAGATCCTAATAAGTACTAAACTAATCATTCGATTGTTCAATCTAATTTGAAGTAAGGGTGTTTTTGGACAACTATCTTTATGTCTTTCGTATATAGCGTAATCGTAGTAATCGTGGAATAATATTAGTTTGGGATTAAGCATATAAATCTTATATTCTTAAATATATAATTTTTTTACACATTTATACTTCTCTATTTTTCACATCTTATTGATCCTAGTTTGGAGTTACGTTTCTTGATACCTCAAAAACCTCCCAACTTTTACGGCAAACAAACGTGAATCTAGTGTGTGTACATTGATTCAAAATTTGGAATTCAAAGATTTACAACGCCAACAAAAGGAGTGTTGAAATACTTTCCGAGGGTATCCTCTACACTAACCCCCCACACCTCCTCTATATAATAATCCTTGTTAGTAATATAATATAATACCTAAATATAGTGCAACTTTCGGTGGACATCATCATAGCATTGTTAGTAATATATAATTGTATATAATTGTAGCATGCTTTCCTTTACCTTTAGCATTTTCGGTGGGCATCCTCCAAGGCATCCGAGGCATCCATTTCTCTCTATAAAAGAGAGTGCCTTCTCTGTGTAATATATATTCAATACATCAATAATAATACATACAATTTATTCTCTCTGTATTTCTCTCTTTATTCTCTCTTTATACATCAACTCTAATAATCCTGAATGAAACCCACATTAATCTTCAAACCAATTCACCACCACTCCTCTTAGCCCATAAAATATAGTAGTTAAAATGGCAAGTTTTCAATTTCTTCTAACTCCCCTTTTCCCCTCTCCATCATCTCGCAAATTATTAATCAAATCTCATCTATGTACCCAAAAAGTTCAAAGAAATCTTGATCTTTCAATTCCTCACCACCCTATCAACTCATTCACTGATGAATTGAACAAACAAAAGAACTTTCAAACCAACAAAAACACAACAAATGAAGGAGGAATAGCTAGTAAAGAGGTGGTGGTGGTTGAGGAGCTCTATACAATAATGGACCTTGTTTCAGACAGAGTAGAAATGCACCGAAACATCGGAGTCCAGCGAGATAACTGGAACCACCTCCTCTTAACCTCCGTCAATGGCATGACCGCCACATCAGCCACCATGGCCGGCCTCGCTGCTATCTGTGGAAGCTCTGATTTTGGAGCTTCCTTGGCATTGAAGCTATCTTCTACGATCCTATACATCGCTGCCACTGGGGTTTTGATGGTGATGAACAAGATCCAACCGTCTCAGCTCGCAGAAGAACAAAGAAACGCTTCGAGACTGTTTAAACAGCTTCACGAGCAAATCAAAACAAAGATAGCGCTTCGAAATGCTAATTTGAATGATGTGAAGGACGCGGTGGAAAGGGTTTTGGCCTTGGATAGAGCTTACCCGCTTCCATTGCTCGGAGCAATGCTCAATAAGTTTCCTAAAAAAGTGGAGCCCGCGGTGTGGTGGCCAGAGCAGCTGAGTCTAATCCAAGAACATGGTTTTGGAGGCGAGCCGTGGAGACTGAGAGATAATGGGTGGAGCGAGAAGCTTGAAGATGAGATGAGAGAGGTTGTTGGGGTTTTGAAGAGGAAAGATAGTCAAGAGTATTTGAGGCTGAGCAAGTTGGTTTTGAAGGTTAACAAGGTTTTGGCCATTTGTGGACCTTGTTTTACTGGTTTAGCAGCAATTGGGTCAGCCTTCGTGGGAACAAGTTCATGGGCTGTGGTTTTGGGGGTGGTGTTTGGGGTTTTGGCTACAGTACTTAATACTATAGAGCATGGTGGTCAGGTTGGGATGGTGTTTGAGATGTATAGAAGCTCTGCTGGCTTCTTTATGCTCATGGAAGAGAGCATAGAATCAACTTTGGAAGAGAGAGAAGTGAGGAAGAGAGAGAATGGGGAGTTGTTTGAGACTGAAGTGGCTCTTAAGCTTGGAAGGAGTTCGAAGAGCTCAAACATCTTGCAAATCTTTCTACTACTTCTACTTCTTCGAATCTAGTGGCCTCAGAAGAGTTCGCAAGTAAACTCTTCTAAAATCAACTCTTGCGTTTCACTAGGAGGTCGAGTCCTGCAACAAGCAAGGTTTTGAGTTAATAATGCAATTGTGTGGCATTGCTGACCATAGTCACAATTTTTCTATGCACTGTAATTGCCATTTATTGCAAGTGCAAATTGTCATGTATTTATTCTAACATCAACTGTCTATTAATAATAAATTTTTTTTTTTTTTTTTTGTTGTCAAGTCCATCAAAATTAAAGGTATTTAAAAGAAGTGAATATAATACTCCATTGATCAACATATTCAAACTCACAACAACTGGTTGCCACCTTTTTTTTTTTTTTATCGCCGTTTGCTCGGAGAAATTAAATTACAGCAACCATGCACTGTTTTATTAGAAAAACTCTTCCACAATCTTTAATGGAAATATTTTCTTAACATATGCACGAGAAAGTCTACCAATAATAATAACAAATAAATAATTGTATAGAAAACGTCAAAAGAGGATAGACACGAGCCACACAAAAGCGAAGTTGTAAAGGCAATGGGGAAAGTCAAAGCACCCAGAAAAATTATGAGTGTCATGAAAAATAGAAAGATTGTATATTGAATTGAATGAGTAATATAATAGGAGAAATTTGTATATATAAGCAGAAAGGAAATTTAGATAGATACAGAAAATGATAGAGATAAGGTTAGAGGGAGATAGAGATAGAGAGAGATACTATACAAATAGATAAAACACATCTATAATAATATACAGCTAACACCCCCCTCAAGTTCAAGGTGGTAAGCCAGATATCAACTTGAGCTTGGAGAGGAGATCAGAGAAGCGGCCTGGAAGATGAGCTTTGGTGAAGAGGTCGGCGGCCTGATCAGCAGAAGTAACAAAGAGAAGACGAACATGGCCACTAGTAACATGCTGTCGTATGAAGTGGCAATTAATCTCAATATGCTTGGTACGATCATGGAAGACATCGTTATGGGCAATCTGAATAGCACTTTGATTGTCACAATAAAGATTGGTGGCAGCGGAATGAGAAACACCCATGTCAGAAAGAAGCCAACGAAGCCACATAAGCTCCTGAGTAGTGTCAGCAAGAGCACGATACTCAGCCTCGGTACTGTTGGAAATGGTTATAAAATTCTGGATAAAACCATAATTTTTTCCTAAGTTCGGTCTATTTTTTAGATGGGCTCCGTGCGTTGATTTTCACGGGTCAAAGTGGTAACGCGTTCTATGCCGCGTTGTGATTCACGTGGTATATTTGGTTGTTCAAAACCATTACCAAGTGAATGGGAAATTGAAGCCAAAGTGTGCTCTCTGAAAATGGAGTTTTGGTGGAAATTCCTTAAGATTGTAAAATGGCTTGTCCCACATTGATTTGGTGGGAGGTTTTGAATGGGTTTATAAGACTTGGGTTTGGTACTTGAGGTGTGCCCCAAGGGGTACCCAAGTGTTTTAGAGGGAGAGGTTATGGGCAAAATGGGCTAGACCCATTAGGCCCAAAAATCACCACACGCGCGCCGCCGCCCGTCCGGTTGGGTGGGCTGGGCTTGGGCGCGGGTGCGTGGTGTGAGGTTGGGCTTGTTCGGCCCAATACTAATCTTTTTGGGCAAAAAACATTTAAATTTAATTTTTTTTTTGGTAAAATAAAATTCATAATTCAAAATTAAACTGGTTTGGTTTTACGGTACATCCAAACAAGACCCTTCCCGAAATAAACTAGTTTGGTATTATTGCACACCTAAACAGGGCCCTTCCCGTTTTGTTATCTGTTTGAAATATAACCCAACAGATTCAAATCTGTTTGAATTCAAAACCAACAGGTTTCATACATGTTCAATTCAAAACCAATAGCTACCTTTACATCTATAAATAGACTACCATCCCATTTGGATTTTACTCCAATTTTCGTACTCCATCCTCTAATATAAATCTCTGCATTTTGCTGCATTTATTTTCTGAAAGAAAGAGTGTAAACACTTAGTGTGTTCGTAAGGCAAACAATTTGTAGTGCTGCTATTGTTTGTAGTAGATCATTTCATCCTGGGAGATAGACGTCCTATTTCTGAAAGCACCGTAGAGAGGACGAATCTGTCATAAGGACACAGTGTCAAACACTGGACTTGATCAGATTACAATTCGAAGAAATTAAATCAAGTAAGTTATTTAATTTATTTTCAGTGTTTTATTATAAATTGAAATCAAATTTTAATTTTGTTTTTATAACAAAATAAAATCTGTTTTTATTTATTTATTTTTATTTTTATTTCGAGTTTGATTTTTGTAATCAAACAAATTCTCTCATTTCCTTTATTTCTTTTTGTTCTGATTGTTGTTTAGTACACAACAGAATTTAATTAATTTAAATACAGTGAAGATTGTCCTACAATCTTAAGACAGACTATTTTTGGTATCTTCATTGTATTTAATTTCCTGTGTTTTCAAAATAATATTCTGGTTGGAAAAACTAATAATCATTTATGATATTTGACAGATAGTAGTAATATACTGTCTCTTTTCTTTGACAACTACTAGTAATATACTGGTGTCATTAACAATTGCAGAATATTATTTGGTGTTACAGAAAATTATTTTGGTATTTTATTTTTCTAGTTTTAGTAACAAGGAAAATAAAATTATTTTGTTGTTATAATTTATTTTCTGATTTTAGTAACTAGAAAATTAATTTGTGGTATTTTATTTTCTAGTTTTAGTAACATAGAAAATAAAATTATTTTGTATTATAATTTATTTTCTGGTTTTAGTAACTAGAAAATTAATTTTGTTAATCAATCATGTAATTTTGTAATCAGAGATTATGGCTACTACAACTGAAACTGCATCTGGCAGTGATACTCCTATTGTTACATCTACATCGATCCCTATTCAGAACCATGTTCATGTACCAATCAATCATGGAGAAAAACCGAAAAAATTTAACGGTACCGAGTTTAAGAGATGGCAGCAGAAGATGCTGTTCTATCTTAAAGGTTACAGACAAAAGAAAGGTCTGGACTTTTTTGACACATATTCTCTTGTGACAAGAATAACATGTGACTCGGTCACAATCTGTTAATTTTGTAAGTAACTTATGGTTTCGTTTGGTAGACCACTTATTTTTGAACCCTTTGTGAAAAGGTGTTAATTCTTTTGACTTTATCATAGTTCATCGTGAGTATACATGGAAGAATTTGTTTCTAGAGTAAAAATATTAGTTTTACAAACTAATTTCATTTTTATTACGAAGAAACCTTTGTGGCAAGATTATTTTCTTTATTTTTCTGAATCATTCTTTATTTTCTGTGTGTGGATCCGTAGTCATGAATAGTTTCTGCACATGAGTCAGAAAATATATATATTCACAAGAACATTTGAATGCATATTTAATTTGTTTATTTATGTACAAATCAAACTTATTAGATGAAGGTATGTTTTGTCATTTTGAAGTTTAAAGTTTAAATCGCATTGGATTTATTTATAAGTTGAGAATCTTTTTATTTCATGATGCAAATTTTGGAATCATGCATGATTAATTTATTTTGTTAATTTATTATTTTTAGTTGATGCTTTTGATATGCATGTATAATGTAAACTCAAGTTATTTCTTAACAAAAATTTCATGTGATTTGGAATGTTAAATTGATATGTTGATTAATTTGAGTTTTTCCAATCACTTTTGAATGGGTGTTTAAATACCAGAGAAATTTAAACATAATGATGTATGTAGTTATATCGTTCCATTTAATTGGAAAGTAAATTTAAAAAATCTTTTATGTTGATTTTTAGTTTATTTTGAATTATGTGATATGAGATGTCATTAATAATTACTTTACTTGCGTAGTAGAATTTGTTAAACCATGAACCATTTTATTAATATGGGGTTGTATCTCTTGCATTAGTTGAGATAATTTAATTTTCTTCTGTCACAAATATTTTTATGATAGTGACATTTATTTGTTATTGAGTTGCAAGAATGTATACAATCAAATGGGTTTTTGAATTGTTTGATTCTTAGGCAAAATTTATTTATGAGGATATGATTTTGTCAAAACATTAATTCTGACTTGAATAGTCATAATTATTTTAATTTTTTCTTGAATTTGTTTTGAAATTCATTGATTTATATTAAAAGTGATAGGGTGGTGAATATGATGCACTATTAAATGAATTTTGTGCACAACATGACATTATTCACCAAACTACAGCCCCTTATTCTCCACAGCAAAATGGAATTGCTGAAAGGAAGAATAGAACCCTCAAAGAAATGATGAATGCCATGTTACTAAGTTCAGGCTTACCACAGAACTTGTGGGGGGAAGCAATATTGTCTGCTAATTATGTTCTTAATTGAATACCCCACAAGAAAACCAACAACACTCCTTATGAATTGTGGAAAGGTCAACCGCCTTCCTACAAATATTTAAAAATGTAGGGGCGTTTGGCAAAAGTTGAAGTTCCTGTTCCTAAAAAGACTAAGATTGGACCCAAAAAAAATAGTAGACTGTGTGTTTATTGGTTATGCTCAGAATAGTAGTGCATATCAGTTTCTGACTTATAAATCATAAATACCTGATATATATGTGAACACTATTATAGAGTCAAGGAATGTTGTGTTTTTTGAACATGTCTTTCCTTACAAGAAAGGACAAGAATTAAGTTCACAGAAAAGAACTTATGATTGTACACAAAGTCAAGAGACTAATGACAATCAAACACAAGAGACTAGTAATAGTCTCAACCAACAGGATTTAACTAATGATGAACCAAGACGAAGTAAAAGAGCAAGAACATCAAAATCCTTTGGTCCAGATTTTCTGACATACTTGTTAGAAAATGAACCTCAAAGCTTTAAGGCAGCAATGACAGGTCCTGAAGCACCTTTGTGGAAAGAGGCTGTTAATAATGAAATTGAATCCATTATGCAAAATCATACTTGGGAATTGGTGGATCTCTGTCGCAAGTGGTGGTAGATGTCTTGAATCGTTTGGAGGTA